TGGTTTTAGCGCTGATGGCTGCATCGGTGATAAGGTTCGTTGATTTGATTTCATTTGAATGTTCCATCGTGAATTGCATCGATAACTTCAATTCATCCAATATCCAGTTAGTGATAAAAATTCTGGACACGTCTTTCACTAAATGAAGCATTCAGTATTCAAGGGCGGCGCTGTTCAGAGTTATTTTTGTACTAACATTTCGAGTGATTTTATAAACTTGAGATGATATTCATGAGTGACCGTCAAAATTAGTTCAGAATCGAATTCGAGCTGAAACCCAAAAATGAGTTTATATAAAAAGTTGAGAGTTTATGAACTGATGCGGAAGTGTTTTGATGACGTTTCGTTTGATTTCAGATGTTTGTGGTTTAAGCTGTCACAAGTGACCGCATCGCGCTTACTTCACGATCAGATGTTTTCGGCTGTGGTTCGAACGAAGATTCTATTCTTTGACAAAAATCCGATTGGTTTGTATTTGATTTGTTGTAATTTTTGATTTTAGCATTGAAATTTTGGGATTCTGAGATATCATCAAGGAGAAAGTTAAGAATTTTTTAGGTGCTATTTCATTAGGAAATATCGTTTAATCGCTTCAGTTATTTGAGTTTACTTATGTTCATTGGAATAAATACTCGCTTCATCGCTGAATTGTTTAGGACGAATTTTGAATCGCTTCTCAAAGGATGTCGGCACTATGGATGATCAAGTGGCGTTCACATTTTTTGATTTCTTTGCGGTTCGTTCAAAATTTTGGTTTTTTGAAATTTTGTCCTAATTTTGCAAAATGAGGTGCGAGAAGATTGAGATTTGGATAATCACTTGTATTCGTGCTCATTAGAATTTAATTGCTGTGTGAATAGCTGGAAAAAGAGCGATTGATTTCTATTCATCTGAAATCTTTGAGGAATTGAATGTTGAAATGTGAAATTTAGGTGGGTCGTTTTTGAAGGAAAGTAGCAAATAAGTGAAATTGCAGGGTATCATGAACTTTTTGGGTATGATTCTGGTGACAATCCTGATCAATCCAGCAGTTTTCATTCCCACTCTCCCGTTGGCACTGCTTTTCTTCTGCTTACGATTCTTCTATTTGTCAACATCACGCGATGTGAAACGTATCGAAGCGACAAGTGAGTTATTTGTATTTTTTGTAGTGTTTCGCTGATAAATTTGTTATTGTTTGTTTCTGAGTTTTTACGTTTCATTCGTTTGAATGAATGAATGTAACGCGGAGTATACGTAGGTGATATCTGCGATTAAATTTCAGCCAGAAGTCCGTTATATTCGCACATTTCGGCCGTTATGCAAGGACTCACAACCGTGCGGGCGTTTTCGAATGAACGCCTCGTACTGAAGCAGTTTTATGATAGACAGGTAGGTTAAGATCAGTTTGTGAACTATATTTCATGTTCATTGTGAACAGAGAGCGCTATTTTTGAATGCCGGAAATATTTAGGGAAATGGAAAACATTTTGTGAAGTAGAGAAGGGAAAATTTCCTAAACGATGATTCTAACGTGATTTTTGTTTGCTTTCAAAATGTATGTAGAATTTCTTAATGTCAGGATGTCAATACCTCGGCAAATGCGCTGACCTATGTAACGGCTCGTTGGTTTGGATTCACAATCGATTGTTTGGTGGCAATATTCATAATGGCCGTTGCTTATGCTGCACTCTATTCGTCGAGTTTGTTTTACTTTCTTCTTTTTTTGGAATCATTTTTATGAAATGGAATTTTTAGGTTTTACAGTTTTTTTACATTTGTTCGTTCGGTTTTTGTTTTCATCAGAGCAGTAGAGTATGAGAATCTACGAAAGTCATTTTACGAAAAGTTTCATAGAATTATATGATAACTGTGTGCGATTACCGAAAGAATGCAATGAATTTTGCAATACAAAAATGAACAGTCAAAATGAAAGGGAAATGTTTCTGCAGTAGTGTTTCAAAGTGGCGACGTGGCGTTGATGTTAATGTACGCGATTCAATTAACCGGATCGTTTTCGTGGGTTATGAGGCAAAGTGCGGAATTGCAGAACTCGGTTTGTTTGTTGTTGTTGTTTTTTTGATTTTTATTGCGGATATTATTCCGTTAATTACGAATTACTTTTGTTTTGTGCTGTTTGAAGTTTACATTGCATTTAAATAATTTAAACCAGTGATGATATGTCGAGCGTTTTTGGTAATGAGAATTTAGAAGAAAATTCTTACGATTTCGATTGCTTGTTTCACCTCTTACGTTTCAAATTTCTAAAAATGTGCAGGAATTTTGGTTGGTTTTCAGATGATTTCCGTCGAGCGAATCTCCAAATACGCCGCATTACCAATTGAAGCGGCTGAACGAAAGGGAATGAAACCACCGTCGAATTGGCCATCCAATGGGCATCTGTACTTCCATAATGTTGGTGGTTATGCGTTGGAATTTTATTCTCTTGTTTCAGCTTGACAATTTAGTTCGCTTTGATTTATTATTGTATTGCTTCAATACTTTTTCATGATGAATATTATGAAATCAATATGAGAGTGTTTAGGTTTTATTTTATGTCTTATGTGTTGTCTTATGCGCAGTGAGTGGATGACATGTGCGATGGAAGAGTTTTTACTTTACAGGTTTCGATGCGTTACGAAGAAAACACAGAGTTGGTGCTGAGAAATATTGAAGCTGATATTCAACCAAAAGAAAAGGTTAGCAGGGTGTTTGATAAAGTGGTTCATTGTATCGTTGAATGTACTTGTGTGGGATATAACGAGTATTTTGGAAATATATTGGATAATATGAATGGAGATGAGCGAACAGAGTCGATGAAATTGTGAATTCCAGCAGAATCTTATCTGTTATGAATTTATTCCTGTGTGATTATTCGTTTAGTGTTTATTGTTTGAAACTTATTGAAAATTTAGGTTGGTATTGTGGGTCGAACTGGTGCAGGGAAGAGCTCATTACTGCGGGCGTTATTCCGTCTGACCGAATTTGATGGTCTCATTATGATCGATGGAATTAGTACGAAATCATTGATATTGCAAGAACTTAGGAAAAGAATTTCGATCATTCCTCAGGTTCATTTTGATTTTAAACTGTTTTGTTTTTTTTTGTGATATTGTGTTTTTTGCGTTAAAAATCAATCTATCTTTTGTTGTCTATTCGTGATTTTTTTGTCGTGGATTTATAGTTTCCGAAATGGAAATTTTTTTCAGGATCCGGTACTTTTCATAGGTTCATTGCGAAAAAATCTCGACCCCTTCGTCGAATTCACTGACCAACAACTGTGGAGTGCACTGGATCAGGTTGGATTTTGCAAACCATTGATTTGTTAATTTGATTTGTTAAACTTGCATTGTGAAAATTGATTTCAGTCGATATTTCAAAGATATTTTTCGTTTTTATTTCAAAATTTTAAAAGTTTTTATGAACTTCATTTCCAGGTTGAACTGAAACTTGCGATTAGTGAGTTGACAGACGGTCTCGAAACGCATACGCAAGAGGGTGGAACAAATTTCTCGGTGGGTCAACGACAGTTGATATGCCTGGCGCGATCGTTGCTTCGTAACACGAAAATAATCGTGATTGATGAAGCAACAGCGAATGTTGATCCTGAGTAAGTGCAGATTTGCATTTGTTTTGGAGTTTAATTTATTTCAGCTTTGGAATTTTCGGTGATTTAATGTTGTTTTGAATGGGAGTAATGAAATAAATACGCTTAAAATTATGTTCATGTACATACGGTCGCATATTGTTCACTTTATCAATTATTAAATAATGTTCGAGTGCGACTGTTTAAAAGGGAGGATTTTTTATATTTAAAAGGGAAGATTTTAGATTTTTTATATTTTTTATTCTTTTATTTTCTATTTGGATTGAAAGATTTGATTGTAGTGAATTATGTTCAATGAGTTATTTATTTGTGTCGGTTGTTG